CCCCCCCCGTACACAATGCCTCATTAATATTCCGTTGTTCTTGGCCCATTTGCTGCTGGGGCCGGGTGTTTAGCATCAGCAGCTGTGTTTGGTAGGTTAGTCCAGCCGAGCTCTTGGCATTGATGGATCCCTGATTCACATGGCTCATCATATAATAAACTCTCAGCTGTGCTGAAGGGTAGGGGTGGGAGGGATGAGTGAGGAACCATCAGGATGAGGCTAGGGTGGGGAGGACCATGCTGGGCTTGGCCCATTTGAGGAGGCCACCAGGTAAGGACAGAACACCAGGGTTCCCAGGTGCACTGTGCAGGCCGGAGGGGGCTCTAATTAGTCTCGTTGGTCCTGCACTTAATGTCAAGCTCATTAAGGAGGCTACAGAGTTAATCAACATACCACAAATTGGATTTTGAGTTCTGCAGCCAGTTTTGTGTACATTATGGGGACTCTGACACGATTAACTCTCAGGGTAAGGATTTCAGGCCAGGTGCTCTCTGTGCTTCAGAAAACCTCTGTGTATGTGTGAGTGTGTGGCGGTGTTTGCCCTTTCTTCCTTTTCCTTCTCAGTTCTTTTTATTCCTTTTCCTAGGCTGACTCTGGAGAGTTCCTATTTAAATTCATTTACCATGTGATCCACTTCATAATTAAATTCATAAAAATCATCAAACAAACCCCCTTTTCTTAACCCTTTGTGTTTTTAACTCTCGGGGCCCCCTCTGGAGGGGAAAGGCACAGGCTGTGTAGTTCCCGGCCGGTGGCTGCCAATGTACGTTTTAATTACCGGCTCCAGCTGAAGTCTCACGTGGCCCTGGCTTTATTTATTTATTTATATCTTAATGAGGATCCTGAATCCTTGATTAAAGTCGTAATCGTTGCCGATTCGGAAGGAGGGGTTGGATGTCAGGCGGGGGCCTCGCGTGCAGACACACACAGAGAGGGGCATGTGGGTGCACACAGGCTGACCCTCACTCTGTTAGACTCACAACTAATTAGTACTGGGGTCTCACCAGCCTCTGCTCCCCTTGGGTTTGATGGGGCAGGGTCTGGGGACTAGCAGTCTGCGTAGCCCTGGCGACGAGAACACAGGCAGGTCCTGGGTTTCCCAGCAGAGGACCCGAGGACTTGGTTCACCCTAATCTGAAATAGGTCCCCTGTTGGTGCAGTGGTTGGTAAAGCACCAACCAGAAGGTTGGAGGTTCAAACCCACCCAGCAGTCCCCACGGGAGAAAGACCTGGCAATCTTCTCCCATAAAGATTACAGCCTAGAAAAGCTGACGAGGCAGTTGTACTCTGTCCCATAGTGTCGCTATGGGCCAAAATTGCTTCAACAGCAGCAACAATCTGGCCAGAATCTCAGAGTCAGGGCAGTGTCTGCTCAATTCAGGCAAACTGGTATCAACAGAGGGCTTCTGCTTTTTCAGCCTGTCCCTTCCCTCCCCAGTGGAAGTGCTTGAACCCCCACCCCCACCTCCTTGACGCTTTCAGTGCTTCTTGCAAATCTTCTGCCCATGAGAGAGCCAGCCTGTGAGCAGACCCCAGCATCTACTCCCCACAGAGCCTTAAAAACCCTCAGAGCCATCAGAAGAGATGAGAATTTATATGGGTCCAGGGGCCTGTGTTTGGGTGGGGGGCAGTTTGGGTAGAGGCCTAAGGAGGGGAGTGAGAGAAGAGAGTAAAATATCATTTTAGAGAGGAAGTGAAGGCATAGGCATGTGAGTCTATAACGAGAAGGACAATTTATGCCCAGGCACGAGCACAGTTTGACATGGGGATAATGAAAAAACGTAGGTCATTGTGGATGACTTAAACCTTCAGCAGCTGAAGAAAATGTATGAAATGCAGAGGACATTACATGGTTGGCAGCCCCGCACATCTGCAGAGGGACAAGTGAAATACAGTGGGCCATTCTTTACCATAAACTGTGGTTGTTGGAGATGCAGCCCCGAGAAATTGTAATTACAGTGACAAGACGAATCAGCGATATTTAAATATTCATGAACAAAGTCTGGGGTGATCAATCTATCTTTATTGTCTGTGCCTTCACTCCTGTAATAAATAAGTAGCTGAAGTCCTCACCTTTCAGCCCGCAGAGCCCCTACTTTGGGTACAAAGCACAATATGGCTAATCCTCACACCTCAATCTCTCACACTCCAGGGCATTGAAGAGTGGAGTGTACAAAAAGGGGGCTGATGAGTATATGAGCATGGACTGTAGACTGAGAGGCACTGAGTCCCAAACTTCATGTACCCAGCATTTTCTGAGACCCTGCTCTCTGTAAGCCCTGTGCTAGGCACCAAGGCTACAAGGATGAATAGGTTCAGTTCTTACCCTTACTTTAATACTAGCGCCCTGTGGGTACCAGTAAATACAGTGCATGCCAATGAGCAGTATGATCACTGTCCAGCATCCAGATGCTGGAGACGGACTGGAGTTTGAATCTTGCCTCAGCTGCTTCCTAGCTCTTTATCCCTTGAGATGATGTTTGACTGTCTCCAAGCATCTCGTTTTTCTTATTTGTAAAATGGGAATGATGATAATATCTTTCTTGTAAGGTGGTTGTGATGATTGCATGATATGATCTGTATGAAGTTCCCAACACAGTAGCAGGCACTCGGATGTATGGACCGTTTTAATTAGAAAGTTCCATAAAAAGGGTATCAGTATAATAATAAATAAATACATAAATAAAAGCACTGTAGGGACAGAGAAGAGAGAGTGACTCATGTTGACTAAGGGCCTCAGGAAAGTTTCCAAATAGGGGAGGTGTTTGAGCTGGGCCTTGAAGGATGAATAGGAGTTTGCTGGGGAGAGAAAGAAATCGAACAGAGGGAACAGCTGCACAAAACTGTGACGGTGGGGAAAAAGCAGAAAGTCTTTGGGGAAATTAGAAGGTCCCCAAACTAGGTGGATTTTGGGGGAGTAGGGAAGTGGGGCTGGAGGGGCTTTTGCTTTTGATCAAGAGGAAAAGGATAGGCAGCATGAGAAGCTTGGGGGCAAGGTCTCAAATGTCCCAAGTCTGCTCTGCTATCATGGGAGTCTGCTTTTTGATGACTGCTGCCCATCTCTAAACCAAATGGGCTCTCTTTTCCTGTAAACTGGCCTTTGGCCCATGGATGGCTACTGGACCACAGTACGTATGGACATGGGTGGGCATATGTACTTCCTGTTGATACTATGGGGACCTTAGGTCGTCTTTGGAGGTAGTGAATGCAGGCAGTCTCTTCCTGTTTGTGCACTGAACATGTCCTTGAAGAGGGACAGGGAGAGCAAGGGCCTAATTCAGTGCTTTGTCCCCACAGGTGACCACCCATATGAGTGTGAGTTCTGTGGCAGCTGCTTCCGGGATGAGAGCACACTCAAGAGCCACAAACGCATCCACACGGGCGAGAAACCCTATGAGTGCAATGGCTGTGGCAAGAAGTTTAGCCTCAAGCACCAGCTGGAGACGCACTATAGGGTGCACACAGGTACTGGGGCCATTGAGGGGACCTGAGCTGGCCCTGGGGCATGGGTGGGGGTGAGGAGCAGATGGCTCCCCAGAGAAGCCCAAGTGAAGATGTTCTGAGGCCGAATACAAGAGTAAAACAGATTTTATTAAGGGTTAGGGGAGCTCTGGTGGCGTAGTGCCTAAGGCATTTGACTACTAACTAGAGGGCTGGCAGTTCAAGTCCACTAGCCACTCCTCAGAAGGAAAACTGAGCAATCTACTTCCATAGAGGTACTGCCTCAGAAACCCAAGGAGGGGTCGCTGTGAGTCAGAACTAACTTGACAGCAGTGAGTTTGGTTTTGGTTTGGTATTAAGGGTTAGTAGGTTGGAATGAGTGCTACTGCCCCCTGTCTCAAGGCAGGGTGGTGGTGGTGGTGGTTAGTTAGGTGCTCTAGAGTCAGCTCTGACTCATAGTAACCCTGTGTACAACACAACCAAACACTGCCCGGTCTTGTGCCAGCTTCACAATCCTTCCTATACCTGAACCCTTCGTTGCAGCCACTGTGTCAATCCATCTTGTTAAGGGCCTTCTCCTTTTTTGCTGACCCTCTACTATCAAGCATGGTATCCTTCTCCAGAGAATGGTCCCTTCTGACAACATGACCAAAGTAGATGAGACAAAGTCTGGCCATTCTCGCTTCCAAGGAGCATTATTCCAGCTGCACTTCAGTCACAGAATCCATTCCCATGAGCCCAGTCCAGCCCTCCAGGCAGATGAGAACAAGATGATTATCTATTCTTCAGTCTTGAACTAGGGTTAAATTGGCCTGATTTGCTGAAGGTGGAGGTCTCATGTTATTTGAGGGTTAGAGTAGAATTAGGGTGTGAGTTGGTTATGCAGAAAGTTGGGAAATTGTAAAGTTAAGGTTCAGTTCCATTCTAAGGTTAGAAAACCAAATGTGTTTACAACCCCTCCGTGTATGATGTTTTACCATTTCACATCCCTTTTTACATAAAAGGTGTATGAACAACTGTTCTCCCTTAGTGGGATTGGTCCAGAGTTCCAGGATGGAGTTGAGGGATGTGGAGTGCTGGAGCTGCTTACACTGGCGTATGAAAACCTATTTTGCCATCTCTTCCCAAGTCCAAGTTTAGTGGCATCAGTTCCATCGCTTAAAAATCAGCCACAGTGGGAGTATTTACAACAGGGCAATTGGCAAATGCTATAAATCAAAGCTTTTGCAGGGAGCCTTTGTTAAACATTTACCCTTGGCACACTATTGGTTGGGGGAGGGTAGACACTCAGAAGGACTTCCTCAGAGGATAAGAAGATAAGAACTTGGCAAACCAGGATGCCACCACTAATCAGGAAGACAGCCATCCTGTCCAGAAGAAGGCACATAGGTGACCTCAGGCAAGTCCTGCTGGCTTAGGAGAGGCTGTGTTTCCATAGGAGGGAAGTGAGGGAAGTGGTAGAGAGAGGGACAGGTAAGCAGAAGGTACATATTATCATGGCTCTGTTGCCTTGCTTCTAGCTTTGAGTCACAGGAGAGGATGGAGAGTGTTCATTGCTGACAACTAGAGTGACCCAGAGGATTTCCCAGAGCCCTGGGGTTTCCTTAGCCCCTTGTTGGGGATGTGACCTGGCAGGCGGATCATTAAATGCATTGGCAGTGACTATTGTAAATAGCTGGTCGATAGTTAGATCACTTTGGCTGTTCATTACTTCATTATTTGCTGGGGCCTCTGCATGGAGGAGTATCGATAGCGAGATGGCTGGCCAGTTAATTACTGTATTGAAACAAGGTTCTCTCCCATGCTCTGCTCAGCTGTAACAGAGGGGAGGTGTTGGGGTGGCAGGCCAGGGTGTGGCTATGCACTCCCAAGTTCTCTGCCACGCCAACTCTGCCTCAGTCTAATCACAGAGGGGAAGGAAGGGTCCAGGTCAGTATCTTAGAGATCCCCAGATGCAGCCATGTTTGGAAGGACTGAGTTCCCTCACTTTCACCCCACACCTCCCCCCCTCACCATCTGTAGCTCTGAAAGGACTCCAACCCCTTGCTGCCCTGAAAGGCACTGTGGTCTGAGGAGTCATCCCCAAGGGGCCTCACAGTCCCTTTCTAGACCTTCTGTTTCTTTCTTAGGAAGGAAATATAGATTGTGCCTTTGGGAGACTTAAGAGTCCCTGGGTAGTTGCGACTGTTAATGTGCTTGGTTGCCAACAGTCCGACGAGCAAGAAAGCTTAGAGATACGAGTTCACCCAGAGGTAGTTCAGAAGAAAAGCCTGGTGATCTACTTCTGAAAAACCAATGACTGTCAACTCTATGGAGCATGGTTCCACTCTGACACACATGGGGTCTCCCTCAGTCGGAAGTGACTCCACAGTAACCCGTACTGGTGTGCTGGCTTGGGGACAGTTAAGAATAGTAAGGCAAGGGGCTGGAGCTATGCAGAACGTTATCATAGCCACTAGCTACATGTGGCTATTTAAATTGTTGTTGTTGTTGTTATGTGCTGTTGAGTCAAACCCGACTCATAGCGACCCCTCCTTGGGTTTCCGAGGCAGTATCACTACAGAAGTAGGATTGCCCAACCTTCCTTCGGAGGCTATTTAAATTAGTCCTTGTTTATTGAGTGGTAGCATCTGGTCAGTTCTGACTCATAGTGACCCCATGTGAAAAATTTAGTTCCTCATTTGCACTGGCCACATTTCAAGCCCTACTGGCTGTATGTGACTAGCGACTACCGTATTGAATGATGCATCCATCATCACAGAAAGTCTTCTTGGATAGTACCGAACTGGACAGACCAGAATCCTCCAACAGGTTAGGGGTGGGATGTGGGCACAGAGCATCCCTGGGAGAGGCCCTCACAGCCTTCTCTCTCTCTGTCTCTGCTTTCTCCTGCCCTGTGTTGCCCCCTCCCCCACAGGTGAGAAGCCCTTTGAGTGTAAGCTGTGCCACCAGCGGTCCCGGGACTACTCGGCCATGATCAAGCACCTGAGGACGCACAACGGCGCCTCGCCCTACCAGTGCACCATCTGCACCGAGTACTGCCCCAGTCTATCCTCCATGCAGAAGCACATGAAGGGCCACAAACCTGAGGAGATCCCTCCCGACTGGAGGATAGAGAAGACTTACCTCTATCTGTGCTATGTGTGAAAAGAGGCCCCACGGTGGAGGGGGAGCGGGAAGCAAGAAAAGAAGAATTAGAGTGAGATGAAGTTGAGGAAGGACTGTGCAGGAAAGAAAAAAAATTAGGGGAAAAAAAGAGAGAGAGAAGAGAAAGGAAACCTGATAGCTCTTTGGCCTGGGCTTTTCCCTGGGCCCTGATGACCTGGGTGTCTGGGCCACTGCTTCCCTCCCCTTGGGACCTCTACCCCCTCCTTTTCTGGCTAGAGGGTGGCCTGGGTTTATTGAGTGGGATGGGGGTTGTTTTGTTCAATTCAGATGGTGGGATGTTTTTCTCCTCCTTCTACCCAGACCCTCCTTTTGAGTCCAGGAATAGAGGCTGAGAAAGGGGTAAGAGACCCTGTGGTCAGTCTTTGCCTATCTCCCTCTCACTGATTTCTCAGAAGATGAAGACTGAGGAAGGGGGGCAGAAAAGACAGGTCTAGATGGTAGAGCTGGGCTGGGTCACTGGTTACCATGCAAACGGCAGCTCTAGTTTGCTGGAGGCCGACCGAGGCAGGGGGTACAGAGGGGGGAGTCGTTCCTTCTCTCCCCACCACTCATCCATCTGCTGCTTTCCTCTTCTCTGCCAGTTCCTGGTGTCCCTCCTGATCATCTTGCGTTTTGCCCCCTCCCTAGCTCCTTGCTTCTTGCCACCCCTTGACTCTTGTCCTCCAAGTCCCCAGGGGGCTCCCAGCCCTTCAGGGCCAGGGGAGGCATCTCCCTCCTCCTCAAATTCCCTGACTCCAGAGCCCCTAGTCCCACCCTTAGCTTTCTGAGAATGCAAAGCAAAACAAAGTATATAGCCCCCCAGTCAAGCCCTGTCATGAGCAAGATTCCTGCTAAGCTACTTTTGCTTCCAAAATGGAAAAACCGAGCAACAATATATACTATCCCAGCAAACAAATAAAAATCCCTACTGCCCTGTTTCAGTCCTTAGGGAAAGGAATCCATGAGAGGTCTGTTTGTCCAAGGGAAAGATGGGAATGTCCTTCTCTGGATGTGCCCTATACCTGGAGAGGAAGGGCAGCTGGCCAGTGGAGGGAATGCTTGATCACACTGGGGACCTTCTGAACATGGAGGCCCAGGGACCCCATGCTCTCAGCAGGAAAACCCAGGTCCAGAGAATGGCACAGACTTCCTTACTTACAGGGCCCCTCAGTCCACAAGGAAAGAGGAAGAAGAAGGGGAGTTCATTGGAGTTGAAAGCGCTTTGGCCTTGTGTTGTGTTTTGCTTCTTTTCTGTGTACCCCGCTCCCCTGTTAGCACATTGTACTTGAATTACCTCAGTTTTTTGTGACCTCATGAGCTTTTTTAAACCCTTGTATCTCCCCCCGCCCTTTTTTTGATTTGGGGTTGGAGGAATGGGGAAGGTGTTCTTTTCTGTTTCTTGTGTAAATTAATCGTAGGTTTTATAGACTTCAGCCGGGCAACATGACTGCCCCATCCCCTAGCAACTAGCCTCCCAGCTGCAAGGGGCAGCCCAGGAGTTGAGAACCCAGGATCTGAGTGTGGGCCTGTAGCAGAAGGTGGGGTAGAGGGCATGGTGCACTGGGGTCTCACCACCCCCACTGAGGCATTCTGGAGTCACACTTGACTCTCTGCCCAGGGCCTGAAGTCACCTGTGCCCATTGCCAGCTCATCCTAAAACATTCTGTAGAAAATCCCACCTTTCCTGCAGTTTTCTGGGTCATTCAACTTTGGGTGCCTCTCTGATTCATATCTTTGCAACTTTGTGGCCCCCAACTCTGTGTGCATTATTGTTGCCAAAATTAGTACATTTTTTGTGGCTGGTCTGGGGATGACCCAGCCTGTGTTGTGCTGTGTTGGGATAGGGGTGTTGTTTTTCTAAAGCTACCTCTTATGTTCGTCCAATTGTTCTTTTGTTCCTTTTATGCCTCCCATTCTTCTGCTCTGCTTCCCCTTGGCCCCCCAAAATCTCCAACCCGATTCTTGGAAAGCACACTTGCAGTATTTGTAGCTGCATAGGGACGGGCCTTCTGTTTCATCTCATGCTTTATTTGCAAGAGTTTTTTGTTTTTCTTTCCTTTCTCTCTCTGAGAAAGTTGTGGCTGCGTTGATCTCTTAGTTTTAAAAAGCGGTTTAGGGAAGTGGTTTTGGGGAGAAGGTTTGTGAGGCGTATAGGGAAGTCGGAGGGATGGATGCTGCTGTCACCACCCCTTGTCCCTCGGCCCCATCCCTCCTGCCCTCCCCTTCAATCTCATCCACCAAATCTGAAGGCCTTAAAAATTGTGTGTTGAGGGGATGCAGATTGGGGGGACTATGTCACTAGCCTGTAGATTGGGAATGGTAAACTAGGGAGGGGACTAAGTTTTGCAATTACAGTAATGACTTAGTGTTTTGGAAAGGAAAAAAAAAAGTTAAACTTGAACTATGTGACTAGAGCAGTTGTCATGTTTATAATGTGAAGGGAGTGAAATCATTGTGAGGAGGGGCAGTCTGTAAGAAATCATTATGCACTATTGCTTCCTCCCCCAATCTGGGAAGAAGGGGGGGCGAGCTTGCCCTCAGGGGATCTGTAAATCCCAGAAAACAGTATTTTAAAAGCAAGATGTCATTCAACTTTGGTGGGGAAAGAAGAAGAAAAAAATCAAGTTATTCCATAGAAGTAGAGAGACCTCTCACTCACTTCCCCACCCTTCCCACCTAGCCTGGGTCCCTTCCCCCCATCATTAAAGCTGAGAGGGTTGAGCTGATATTTACAAATTGTAATATTTTTGTAATATTTGTTAGTTCCTTTGTCAGTTCTACAGGACCTTGCCCTTTCCTTTTGTAATGTGAATAGGGAAAAAAAAAAAAAAATTCCACCACCACCACCACCACCAAAATCCCTTTGTACATGTCTGTGTGTATGTGTATGTGTGTGTGCTTTTTTGTGTACGGTTGTGTGTTCAGTCATGCAGTATTGTTGTAATCTGGTGTTGCAGCATTGGATGGTACTAAATCAGCACCTGCCTGTTCCACCCAGCCCCAAGGACACTGCAGGTCCTATTCCACCCAGCCCCAAGGACACTGCAGGTCCTAGTGGGGGGGGGGGTAGGGAGAGAGGAAGGGAGTGGAATTTGTGAAGGACACTGGGTGGGGAGACTTCTCTACTTGCTACTTTCACCCACAGGAAGGCCCAGACACGCTGAAAAGAGTTCCACAGGCCTCTTCCCCAACTTCTTCCTCCCCACAGAGATAAAAAAATTCTGAACTTGACCAGGCCAAAAGTGTGGGGCCTACGAAGGCATGCCCCACCCCTGGTGCTTTGATCCCCAGGGAGACCTTACTTGGAAGCTCTGGATGTGTCTGGATTGAAGGGGGTTTGGGAGATCAGGAGAGTGGAAGTTGTTCTCTCCCCAGGTGAGATCTAAATATTTTTACTTCCCTCTTCTTTCTGCCATCTGGCTCCTTGGGCCAACTTGCTGCCTTTTTAGCTGTGGTACTGCTAACAACCCTACTTGCTACTGCCTTATCCAGCATCACGAAATGTCTCCAGCTTGGAATGTCTAAGTTGGTTAATAGTCCCTTTGCCATGTCCAGCCCCTACAAGTGTGTCCATTAGTGCTTTTGGTGACATTCACCCCTTACTTATAGGCTGTCTTTCCCTGTTCACTCCTTTACTCATTCAAAGCATTAAAATCCTATATGTATATAGGATAGACAAATATATATATAGATCTATATATATATATATATATACATATATATATATATAGCAAGAGAGAGATATAAAATAGTAAGTGTCATTGCTGCTTTGGGCTACTTTGGAGGAGGCCAGGAATATGGGGGAGGTTGATCTGGGGTGCAAGGGTGGGTAGGGAGGCTGGGGGACCCAATGATTCAGTACAATCCAAGGATGTAACGCGGGCTTGTTTAATCTTTGTGCCTGAACAGTTTTTTTTCAATGTTTAGAAAAAAGAAAAAAAAAAAAAAACTGCTGCAATTTTTCACAAGTGTATGGTACCTTTCTGGATGCTACTGGTACAGTTGTTGCAGGAGTGTCAAGACCCTGGGAGGGCCAGGGCTTCCCTCCTTACAAGGAGTGAGCAGAGATGGGAGGTGACCTTTGGGCTCTGTCCAATGAAGGGTGTCAGGGGCGAGTTTTTGGTCTCTTCCCTGGCAAACCAAACGAGGAAGAGAGCTTGGGCCACCAGGATACAAAACAGCAAAGCAGAAATAGTCCAGAGTGTTAGTTTGTTTTTCCTAGGCTGATTTTTTAGTCTTTTTTCCCTCCCATCTTGTCTCTTCCTTCCTGAAGCTTCTGCTAGCTGGATCAAATGGCAGCACTTAACCTGGATAACTCAGTAGGAAGGGCAGGAAAAAAAAAACAAACAGGTAAACCCTGTGTGGTGGGACTGATGGGTGGTGAAAAAAGGTCGAGACAGCCAGGAGAGGGAGGCATAAGACAAACCAGGGAGGTCAGGTCAGGCGACGAGGGTGGGGGGACAGAAGGGTACAGGCCCTTTAGGCCTGTGGCCCAGCAGCTGCTACCTCCCGGAGTCCTTGGCATCCCACCTTGCAGACAGGGTACCAGCCTCCTGGTGTGTATCATAGTATTTGTTCACATAGTGTTATGCATGATCTTTGTAAGGTGAAGAAGCCGTGGTGGTGCACCATGACATCCGACCCATATATATAAAGATAAATAAATAAATAAATATATATATATGTATGTAAATTATAGCACTGAGGGCCCTGCCGCCCTGCTGGACCAAGCAAAACTAAGCCTTTTGGTTTGGGTATTATGTTTTGTTTTGTTTTGTTTGTTTTTGTGGCTTGTCTGATGTCGTGACAGCACAAGTGCCAGTCTGATTGCTCTGTATTACAGAATAGTGTTTTTAATTAATTGATGTTCTAGTTCATGTCTACCTCAGCACCTCCTGTTAGCCTAATTTTAGGAGGTGCCCAATTTTGTTTCTTCAGTTTTACTGGTTCCTTTTTTGTACAAATCAATCTCTTTCTTTCTCTCTTCCTTTCTTTCTCTCTCTCTCTTCCTTTCTTTCTCTTTCTCTCTCTCCCTTTCCCCTTTTTGTTCCACCTTCTCATCTCTGTTCCATCCTCTTTCTCCCTCTTTCCTTCCTCCTCACCCCCTCCTTCCTGGTCCCCTAGCTCACAA